ACTGACAATGCCACACCTCAAATCCTGTGCTCAGTTTTGTGCCCCTCACTGTAAGAAAGACATTGTGGTGCTGTGTGTCCTGAGAGGGAAAACAGGGCTGGTGAAGGGTCTGGAGCACAAGTCTGATGAGGATCAGCTGAGGGAGCTGAGGTTGTTTAGCCTGGAGAAAGGGAAGCTCAGGGGAGGTGTTATTGCTCTCTACAACTACCTGAAAGGAGATTGTAGTCAGGTGGAGGGTCAGCCTCTTCTCCCAGGTAGCAAGTGACAGGACCAGAGGAAATGGCCTCAAGTTGTACCAGGGGAGGTTTAGATTAGATAATAGGTAACTATTTTTTCACTGAAAGGGTTGTAAAGCATTGGAACAAATTTTCTAAGGAAGTAGTGGAGTCACCATCCCTCGAAGTGTTCAAAAAAATATGTGGATGTGGCAATTGAGGACATGGCTTAATGGTGAACATGATGGTGGTGCTGGGTTGATGGTTGAACTGGATGATCTTTTCTAACATTAATGATTCTATGTTTAAAGGTACTGTGGCATTTTTGTTTGCAAGATTTCAAAGGAATTACTTTTCTTTTTGTGAAAATATGCATGATTCCAGGTTTTCTTTCCTAAGATCCTCATTCCCTTGTGGCGTCACTCCTAAGGAATAAACATACCTGTCAGAGCACTGTTTGCCTGAGAGACAGGTTTGAAGCTTCTGCACTGCCTACCCAGGAGACTTCCCACGTGCAACCCCAGGAATCAGGCTGGCTGCTCACCTAAGCTGTGATTATTCCATATGCACCTTCCTGGTCTGCTTCCAGCACGGAAGTAACAGACCTGGGTTTGAACCTTATGCTTTCCACACTACAAGTTTAAATACAAGATCTTGTTCTGCAGTTGTTTATGACTGACATCATCACGTGCAGTTTTCTCATTGGATTGTGTCAGCCATCCAAACTCAGGCCAGCCTTTAGCATTTGTGAAAATATACTGAGGTGTCAAAATAGCAGTATTTCAGAGGTTCTAGGTAGATAATTTCTCACAGAAGAAATTAAGATTCAATATCAGAGTAGTTTTATGTTATTATAACTACTGTTGTGTGATGGGTACTATTCTATTTTTATTTTTTTACTATTTTTAGCCATATGTCTAACTGTATAGCATAATATTTTTAAGCTGGATATATGAATTTAGAAATACAATCAAAACCTTTGCCTCCCTTTGCCCCTGAAACCCAGTTTTCAAGTTAATGCCCGTTGCAGGCTGGTGGCCAGAGGAGTTCAGCCTCACAGCTGGGCTGCCATTCATCAGTCCTTCAGCCCAAGTCATACTGGAAAGTGTCCGTAGCTGCACAGCCAAGCTCAGCAAGCTGCATGTGGCACTACTGTCATGGACCGAAGTACGTGGACCTATGCTGGTGGGAGCTAAGGCAGAAGTGAGAATTGGTGCTTAGAAGGTGGGATATTAGGAATTTTACAGTTAAGGTCTACTCTCTCTCTTCCTGAGTGCCTTTCATGTGCTCGTTCCACATATCTCTGCTCCCTCTTCACTTTCTCAGGTTTTTCCTGCCCTCCTTTCATGAGCATTTTCCTCTCTGCATTTTCCTCTGCTCTCTTCATGCTCTCTCCTCACCCTAAAAGAGACCTTTCAGGGAACGGATTACAATATGAGACAGCAATTCTGTGTTCAGATTCAGTCTTAACTGTGAAGAAAAACAAGGCCCACAGTCCATGGTGCCTCACACAGGTTCTCCTGCCTGCCAAAGCCTCTGATAAGACAGACCCTTTAAGACCCCACTTTTAGCTCATTAACACTGTCTGCCATGTCTTCTCACATACTTTGTGTGCTGTTTTTATGGTCTGTGAGATGGTTCAATGCTGTGGGCTCTTGGTAGCCTTGAGCTTCAATGTCTGCTTGGCTTTAGCTCTCAAACTGGCTAATGGGGGGAGTTGACTCCCCTCAGACTGTTGGATTTTCTGTCGTCTCAGGATCAAGCTATTGTCTGCCCTCTGTAGCTCTCTGACTTCAGATGTAACATATTTTCAGTATTTCATAGCAGGTTTGTTTGTGGATCTTGCAGTACTTTCCTGAGTGCTGTTTTGCTTCAGTCTGTGGTGGTCCTGTCCTCTCACAGGAACTCAGGCTCCAGTTTCAATGTGTTTGATGTGCAGCATCAGAGCAGCAACTTGCTCTCCCACGGTTTTACCTTCCTTCACAAACACTGAGCAGTTAAAAACAACATTCTTTTCATGTTTTCTGTCAAGAGCAGCACTCCCCATATGTCACTGCTCCCATCTCAAGTTTGACACTTCCTGCAGTCCTGACTGTATGTTTGATCTTGTGGAAACTGTCTACGAGCAAGGACAACTTCATTGCACCCTGCACAGACCTCTGAGAAGTGCAGGTTTCTAACATGTGCTACTGGCTCCCTGTCTGCCATCCTACAGCATCTGTGCAGGTCCTTCTTCCTTCAGAGTATTGCGCCCAGGACATGTCCTCACCTTGACTCGTTCCCTTTCAGCCCTCTGAAAGGCTTCAGGGTTTTATGTTGGAATAATAGTTTCAGTTTTTTTAAAGTACATCAGTCCAGTTCAACTCTTCATTACCCCACAGTGTACCTGAACCACCTGCTTTTGCATGTAAGGCAGTTCTGTCAAGTAACCAGTAACTAAATGACCTGGGGAAGGCTGGATGTACCATTTGGCATTACGGTGGCAGGTGAAGAAGTAGCTAATGGCACCAGGCAGATAATTTGAAATTTTTGTACATTAAAGAGATGGTTAGAGCTAAGACTGAGAGTGTTTATCAGAAAACCAGGGTCAGAAATTCACAACTACTCCTAAAACAAGCACTTTGCAGTTGTAAGAAAGTAAGCATTTAACATTAGATGTTAAATCTAAACTCAGCAAAGCTTGGAAACTTAAGCAGTTTCCAAACCGTTTCAACCTAGCCTGTGATGTCGCCGTGAGGAAGAAAAAAATATTTTCAAAACACACCTTATTTGTCACCAGGAATGACAAAACCCAACCATAAGTAGGATGCTATAGACCTAGGATGGTGACTACAGACAGATTTAGATCTGTTTGGTCATAGAAATACAGATGGAACTAGTCTGGAGATACATATGCAAATGTGCTCAGATGTGACAAGAATGGGTGCTCACAGGCAGTGATGCTGCCGGAGTGCTGAGGCTGAGTGAGGGTATCTGTAAGCACATAGCCAGTGTCATACAAATTAGGACTAGCTCTCTGCTAGTTTGTGTCAATAAACATGCACAACTGCTAAGCCATGAGTCTATTTTTTGTATTTTAGTAAATCCTAATAAACCCCCTAGTAGTCTTAAAATCATCTGGGAAAATGTAAACATACATTGTAAACAAAATAGTATTTCCATCCTGGTTCTAAGGTTTACAACCATTACCACTTCTAATAAGAACAATTATCATATGTTCATCATATTGATATTTAAAGGCTTCATTAATACTTGGAGGTATGTTCCTAAGATGTGTAGAGACTCATTATTGAGGCAGTTTTTCTCTCTCAATAGGTGCACGTAAAACCCTGTTTGCACTAGAGATGTTCTTTTGTATAACAACAATCTGAAGTTCACAGGCATGAAATATTACTGGCAAAATTAGCGTATTTAAATTAAACAACAAAAGGTGCTCTTGGGAAAAGAGGAAGAGGGAAAAGTATCCTGGCCATCTTCAGTGTTTCTGCAGCATGGAATTGGGTTCTGCTGCAAGAGTCGTTACTGGCTTGAGGCATACATACATCTGTCTAATAGTTTAATTTTATCTGGAACAGTGGGAAAAAAAACAACAAAAAAAACTAACAAGTTGATAGCTTGCACATTTTTCCCCTTGCTGTGACTTACAAGAGTAAATCAAGGTGAAGCTTGTGGCAGCTCCTGACAGGCAGACCACGTACCCTCTGTGTAGAGCTTTCTGGCAAGGAGAGGACCTTGTGCCCACTGCCACCTTCTCAGGTGATGCAGAGTGGCTCTTCTCACACTCACAACATCAGGAGGAGCTGGACTGAGAGCTGGACGTGGTGCCCACGTTGTCCTCCCCCTTATTTTGCAGCCACACTCCTTATTTTTTGCAGCCCAGAGGTGGAAAGGAGATTGCAGAGCAATGTGAAACATCTACAGAAGCTTTCATTTAAAAATAGAAGTTCAGTTAGAAAGTAGAATATTGACTAAAATAAACAAGGGTGTGGTGCTGGAAAGTTTTCCTGTGCCATTCACTTGTAAAATTTCAGGACTTCTTGTTGGGGCTACAAAGCTATCTACCATCTAAGTAATAGCCCTGTCAGAGTCTTTGGCTGTCCTACATTTGTGTAGTTAGGAACCAGCTACATGCTAGGTCTTTAATTTTTCCAATTTTCATTTTACAATCCCTAGTTGCAAATTACGTGGAAAATTCTTTGTTCAAAACAACCAAAGTGTCAATGGATGCAATGTGGAATAATTCAGATTGTATAATCCTGTTTTAAATACATCATAATAGACCCATTGTTAACTTTCAAAGGTATGAATGAATGTCTTGCTGAAATGACACAATTAACCAAGCATATTGAGTCTCTACAGCCTCTGAAATAGAACTCCTTTTACTGCCTGACAGAAATGGGAGTCCTTTTTGTTTTCTCTCTCAAGAATCCTGACACTCCCCAAAAAAGCAGAATATTCTTCTGGGTTTTTTTTCACACAAGAAAACCATGTATTAATGTAGCAAATCTTCCTAGCAATGTTATCAATTTTTGTCTGTATTCCATGAGATTGATATGATAGTAAAACTACAAGAAACATTATTACATTATTAAGAAGCACACTCTTCATAATTTTGTACATTCTGCTTGGAAGCCTGAGACATCAATGACTTCTTCAGCATCCTCATGCTGCACACTCTTCTCTCCTGGCATTGATGTATGAGCTACTATTTACTCAGGACTCAACATGACTTAATTTTTGTTTGCTGGATGTCAATTTTATTTTATCATATGTTTCAATTAACAGGTGTGTATGTAATATAGACTGCAGTGGATACAGTTTTAATCCTGTATGTGCTTCTGATGGAAGTTCCTATAACAATCCATGCTTTGTTAGAGAAGCGTCATGTCTGAGGCAAGAGCAGATTGACATCAGGCATCTCGGACACTGCTCAGGTAGGCTTAATTTTGTTTTTCTGGAAATGTAAATTCTGACATAGGTGGGCTTGCTAGAGCTTTCCCTTTTACATTTTTGATCAGGAGTCACTGATCCACTTATCCATGAACTGCCCACCTGTAGTTTTGAGTTTCCCACACTACATACATGTGTGCTGTGTTTACATGACCTTTGGCTGATGTTACCTGGAAAGACAGGAAAAGCTCTTAGGAAAATCTAAGCCATTATCCAACAGTTCTTACACAAGGGCATGGTAAGAAGTAGGAAAGCAAAAGGAATATGGGTGTGTGGGAAATGTTCCCTCTTGCTGCTGTGGGTTGTACAATGTGCTTCCAAGGTGAATCGAGTTGGGTCCCAATTGCACAAATATTGATCAATTAATCTTAAGGGTCTTTTCCCACCTAAGTGATTCTATGATTTCCTTTTCCAGTGCTGGAATGGTCCACTGAAACCCTCTGTCTACTGCCTTGTAGCTAATCATGTACGTGACTCTTCGGTTTTGGGGGCTTGCATTTAGGACTTTCTCTTGGGAATAACAGCTTTCCGCTATCTCTTGGCCAGTTACATCTAGATCTGTAACTTGGACCGTTCCAGCACCAAAACAGACTGTCACCAAAATAACCTAGGTCCATACTGCAGAAAAGTTTTTAGTTCAAAACCTACAGCTTGTGTTGGTCTGGACACCAGGGTTACTGACCAAGCTGGTTATATGGGAGGAACAATGTGGGAATGTGTCCAGTTTTACTGCAATTTAAAATAATTCTTTGAATATTATTCTGGCTTCTCAATGACGTACATGTAGTGGTCTGGAAAACAGCCTTTCCTAATAGCTAACCATGCATGTGTTTATCACCTAGAAACAGATGACACAAATGCAGTTGGAAAGAAAGATGATGGCATGCAGTATCGGCCAGAAGTGAAAGGTACTGTGCAAACTTTGTGCTATTTGGTTATGGCTTCACAAGATGAGAGAACAGAGCATGCTAGTCTCTTCTTGTCTGCCTTACAGCTTTGATTTCTGTAACTGAGACAGACCTGTGAACAGCTTCTTTCTTACAGCATGTTGCAAGGCTGGCAAAAAGATGTGCATGATTTGTAAGTTTTACCTGCTATATTCCTCTAAGATGACCAACTGCTTACCACCCTGTACAGTGGCCACAGGATTAGACTCCCTCCAAGTGCTGTGAGAATGACTTTACTGGAAGACACCAAGCTGTGACATTCCTGATGAAATAACATAACACAAACCTCCCTCCCATGAGCCCATCTCTTCAGTTAACTTCTGAAAAAAAAATGGATGATTCTGTATTTGTTAGGTTGTTTTAAAATATTTTCAGTAAACTAATACACATTAAATCACATTGGTTGAAAATGTTTCACCTATATGAACCTTACCTTACCTTTCATAACCTTTAATGTCTCAGCTTTTTCTTCATTGCTATTAGTCACATCAAGTATCAGTCCAATGCTTTCTTTAGACCTCCTCTCGCTATTAACACACTTTAAAGAGCCCTTCTTGCTATCTTACACAACACTGGCCAGATTCAACTCTAAATGAGCTTTGGCCTTTTGTGTTTTGTCCCTGCATATACGAACCACAGCTCTGTACTCTTCCTGTGAAGACCTGATCTCACTTCCAGTGATCATACAAATTCTCTTCCCTCTTGAGCTTCACAAAGAATTCCCTGTTCACTCAAGCTGGTCTTCTGCCCCAGTTGCTTGACTTATAACACAATGGAATTGTCTGCTCCTGTGCTTCTAAATGGTGCTTCTTAAAAATTGACCAGCACTCGTGGAGCCCTAAGTCCTCAAAAGCAGATTGCCAGGGTACTTGGCTAAATAGTCCTATGAATAGCTTAAAGTTTTTTGTCCTGAGCTCCAGGGTAGCAACCCTGCTGTCCTTTTTTCTCGTTATGCTGAAAACTCAACCATTTAACTCAACCATTTCATGATCACTATGGCCAAGACAAACACCTGTGATTACATCCCCTGTGAGTCCTCTATTCACAAATAGCAAACCTAAGAGGGCTTGGCTGACTGAGTACCTGTGACAAGAAGTTATTATCTCTACAAACATCAAGAATTTCCAAGACCAGTTCACCACAGCAGTATTATGTTCCCAGATGATGTCAGGGAAGTTAAAAATATCCTGTAAGGAGAAGGGATACCAATCCAGAAATTTCTCATAATTGCTTATAGAATAACTTACATCCTAGCTGAATACTCAGTAGTAGGCATCCACTACCACATCTCCTTGTTTTCAAACCCTCTAACCCTCACCCAGAGGCTCTCAACCACATGAGCACTAATCCTAAGTGCTTGTACAATCAAATCTTTCCCTTCCATATAGCATGACACCTCTAACTTCTCTGCCCTGCCTGTCCCTCCTGAACAGCCTGTAGCCCTCTATCCCAGCACTCCAATTGCGAGACTCATTTACCAAGTCACGTAAATACCAATTATATCATAGCTCAGTGCTCTGACCAATGCTTCCAGTTCACCTTGTTTGTTTCTCGTGCTGTGTGTGTTGGTGTACAAGCATTTCGGATATACTCCTGAGCTCTCTGTGTTCCCAGGAGTAGTGCAAGTGTTCCCACTAGCACTTGCCACCCTCAGGTGATGCCATGCCAACCCATGTCTTACCTACTGCAATTCTATTGGCATCCTATTCCCCCATTAATTCTAGTTTAAAGGCCTCTCCATCAGTCCCGCCATCTTATGCCCAAGAAGGTGTTTTACCCTTCAGGACAGGTAGGTCCCATCAGGCCCCAGCATACCTTGTGTTTCACAGTCTCTTCCATGATTTAAAATCCCAAAGTTTTGGTGGAAACACTAGTCCCAGAGCCAGGTATTGATATTCTGTGCTCACCTGTTTCTTTCAAGTCTCTCCACATTATTGGGAGGATTGAGATGAAACATTATGCTCCCAAATTTTTTTAGTATTGTACCCAAGGCTTCTGAAATCTCATTTGATTGACCTCAGACTTTTCATTGCTACATCAATAGACACATGAAAGAGCAGGAGTGGGTAGTAGTCTGAAGGTTGTAATAACTTCTTCAGTCTTGTGGTGACATCCCTAATTCAGGCCCCAGGAAGGCAGCAAACTTTCCTGAAAATAGAGTCCAGTCTGCAAATGGGTGCTTCCATTCTGCACAGGAAGGAATCACTAATGAAAATCACTCACTGTTCTTTCTCCTCAGCACTGGTCTTAATGCAGGTTTTGTTGGGAGGGGTTGGTTATCTTCTTCTGTTAGCTCTGGTCTTTAGATTTTTTCTGTCATTATACTTGTTTTGCACTCCCATGGCCTCGCTGAGTAAAGCCATCTCACCATGGCTTTCAAAATTCCTTATGTTCTTCTTGAAAAGTCATTCAGTGCCAAAAAGCTTCATATATTTTTCTCTTTTACAAATTTTCGCTGCATATGATGTACCAGTTGGAGTGATTTAATGTCAATTTTCACTTACATTATGAAGGTATAAAAGGCACCAAATGGAATATACATCTTATTATGTGATGTAATGAAACACCACTTTTTGGTTCCTATTTCAAAGAAGTAACAGCCTTTTATTCATTGCATATAAATTGCTCTTGAAATCTAGTTAGTGGGAAAACCACTGTATATAATTATACAGCTTGTATTATATAGCTTGTGCAGTCTCACATTCAGCAAATGATGTGCATGGAGGGAGTATGCTTCATGAAAATAAGCTGTGTTGAATTTTTTAATGCAGTAGTCAGGTCATTTTAAATAGTGAGATCATGAAGTGAACGTCTTTGAATGACATTTTTTTCTTCCAAGATAAGAGAACAGTCCACATTCCTATCTATTTGCTTTTGCTTTCAATTCCTGTAAGTTATTTTTGTTAAACTCTGTTGTCTGAATATATTATGCCTTTTAGTCTCTAGAATCCTGACAGTCTCCTCCCACAGTGCAAGTGGCTACCTAAAGTTATATCAGAAAGGTCTCTCCTCCCAGATTCAGCTGGCTTGCTGGTTTTGTTGTAACAAGATGAGCATCAGGATTTCAGTTTTTATGCGTGACTCATTCTTCTGGTGAAGTATTTGAACTCCTATATCCAGTCACGCTTTCAAGGCTCCTACACCAGTTAAATCTTTCACTTTGAAGTCCTGAAGCAGTCTAGCAGGTCTCTCAGGTTAGAAACGGATTCCTGTCAATAGGAGGGTAAATGTCTGTTTTACACTAGGAATGACCTCCTGCATTTAACAACATCTCTTTGCTTAATATAAGTTTTACCTCTGACCTGTGTGACTGTGGCTACCTGGCCACCTTTCAGAGGATGCACCTTTCAGTCTTTCACTGGGCCTCACATTCTGTGTCAGTACATATATTAAAACCAGACATGGCACAGCTCTATGAACAGACTAATATAATTATCTGTAGCTTATTACAAGCCTTTAATTGGGACCAGATGTGACAGTAATTAACTGCTTGGAGGAGGAGGGAGATGATAGTTTTGGGATGAGACATCACCACTGTTCTCCTCTTAGACAGGCAGAACATAGTCTGTTCCATCAGGGCATTAGTGGACATCTTGTCAGTTTTAAGCAACATTCTTCCCTTGTATCAAGTCTTCCATATCTTCGAAACATAGCTTGGATCAACAGACTTCCTTATATCTAAAACCTCTAATAGATGGTTGGGATTTTTTTTGTCCTGAAACAAATTAAGAAACATTCCAGAAATGGTCAGGAAAAACCTTAACACAATAGCATGCCTTTTTTTTTTTTTTTTTTTT